AAGAGGTTTGCATCCAAAATGCATTTATCTCACTCTGCACTCCCGCATCTGTTACTTACTGGGGACCCAGGTACGATATTTATTTCCAGGCTGGTAATTTATAACAGATTCAAGTGGCCGATACATTTTCGGGTGTGCAAACAAACCCGCCAGTGGGGTGGTTCAAACAGCAGCAGATCATGGCCTCCAGAGGCCCAGATAGGGTTGGCCTCATCCAGCTCATTATCCAAATGGAGTCATTTTAATGAATTGTCAAGATCCAATTGTGGAGAAAGGATTCTAGCTTGAGTAGCTAGCTTTTGGCTGAGGTGGGGGCCATGGCAAAGCAGTGAAGATTAGATTCTGATTCATTCATTCATTCATTCTCTCTCTCTCATATTCTCTCTCATATCCTCCCTCCCTCCCCACCGCCCCGAATTGCCAGGAGTCCACAAGTATTTAACATGACTCAACTATAAGTTAGGCTCACAGTTCTACTGCTCCCTGCCACATAATGGTAACTCTTTAAAAGTTTCTTTTCCCGTCTCTTGCTCTATCTTCTCTTCCACACTCTTCTCTGTACTATGGGAGGTAGCTGTATATATTGTAAAGTAGGCTGCTAGGCTCTCCTGTGCCTATTGGTCCAACCTGAAGGAGCAGAATTCAGAGACCAGTGGAAGGTCTGCCTTAAGGTGGAACTCTTTTACACAATTTATTTTGATTTTATGTGTATTAGTGTTTTGCTTGTGTGAGTGGAAGTGTACCCGTGTGCACTTGCAATGCTCACAGAGGCCAGACTAGGGTGTCAGATTCCTTGGAACTGGAGTTACAGATGGTTGTTAGCTGCCATGTGGGTGCTGGGAACTGAACCTAGCCCCTCTGCAAATGTAGCCAGTGCTCTCACAATTGAGCCATATCTCCAGCCCCCTTAAGGTGAGACCTAATAAACTCAAAGTTCTTTTAAGGTTAGGAAGTTTTCTGTACTAGGTCTTGGTAAATCCCCAGAGGAGACCCAGTTGAACAGTACATTTCCTTTTATCTCTTTCACTGAGGACCCTCATGGTTTGAATGCTTTGTTTTGGGGGACTATGTGGGTTTCTGGAGTCTAGAGAGGATCTCATTGCTCAGATGCTGCATGGGGACAGGCACGTGACATGCATGGTCTCAATGTGGTTTTACCATGGCTAATGGCCCAGCAGATCTTGAGGGCTGAGCCATGGGCAATCCCCTTCTAGGTCACTTCTTGCTACATCAGCAGGGGTTAGCCTTTCTCTGTCAAGGGCTCCAGCTCTATAGGGCCAGGCACCCCTCTCCTTATAGTAACTCTCTTTTCTTTATGGCCATTTTCTTCTCTTGTTCAGCCACAGAACTTCAGACATCTCTTTGTCATATCAAGTGCCAAGATATTCCACCCAATACTGTTGGTTGGTTTGCTTCTATCCTATTCATACCCTTATTAAACTCTCCCTCGTTAACCCTTCTGAGTCAGCTTCTGTTTTCTCCTGAGACTCTACTAGGCACTTCATAGCAGTTATCACATATTTGTGATCTGGTATTATTATCATTGTACAGATGACAGAGTGAGTAAGTAATTTATCCATAGTCACAAAGCTAGTCATCAGAAAGGCTTGTATTCAACAGGCTCAACAAGGATTGAATTCATGACTGTAGTCTCATTAGTCCTTGATGCTAACCACTGAGATGTAGCTCAAGGTCTGATATTACTTGTTAGGACAGCATGTGGTACAGACATTTGTCCTGTCTGCACAATCTACTTCTTACAGAGAGAAGGAGGGGCTGTGGTGTGTTCTAGCTGTGCAGAGAATTAAAGTCTAGCTGTGTGACCTTGGGCAGTGCTCTTAACCTCAACCCCTGGTTTCCTGTCTTTAATGGCTTTCAAAATGCTTTGTAGTGATAGAACATGACAGAAGTGGGAAGCCTGATTAGTGCTGGTGTTGTAGAGATTCACTTGCACTTAAAGCAATTTCATTTGTTGCCCATTCAACATGGCAAAGCCTCAGTTCCACGTGAAGTCAGGCATTTACTGTAATACGGATTGAGTATGCTTTTGGGGGGAATTTCCATTTAGATGTCAAATGTCAGATAGATGTGGAAACTCAGGCATGAAAGACTATGCCATGAGTTCTATCCCTTAGAACTGTCTCATGTACCTGGCCACAGTCAAGGCAGAGAAGAAATAGAAGGAACCAATCTAACTGTATCAACATGTGCTAGCTTAGTGTCCATAGACTTCAGGCTATGGGATGGTGTCTGTGGTAGATAGAAGGGAAAGAGAAGGAACCCTGGATGACATGCAGCCTCTACTTGGGTCTGTCACTGACCAGCTGAATGATGTTGGACAAGCTTTGCTCTAAGTCTCAGTTTCCCAATTTGGAAAGTAGGAGTGACAAGACCCATCTTGAAGAGATACTAAATTCCTAATAAGCAGACTCACTTAAAGCAGCCATCATAGAGCCCAGGAGTGACTCATTAGAAGTCAACTGCAGAGTCTGGGACTCCTGATTCAAACTCTGGCTCCTCTCCACTTACCTCCTTTTTTACAGTATTCTGGGTATGTCACCCAACCTTAAGACCCTCAGCTTACTCATCTGGAAATGGGTACTGAGAGTGAGGTTGAGGTATTAGTTAAGATGATATCGGTACATGGGAAATGATCACTAACTCTTAGGTTACTGTAACTTCTTGCCCATTTGTTTCTTTGTCGCTCTTCAAGGCAGGACTGAGGTGTCAGACCATCCAAGAAGTCTTCTTTGGACACCCTTTCCCACCTTGAAGATTTGATTCTATAATTCCTGCTCTGTAAGGGTCTCTTTTCTTATCTGGCTTAGTCCACATATGAAAGGTCAGTATTTCTAGCACACAGTGGAGAGTCTGCTTAGCATATTGTGAAATGAGTAATAGAGGGAGAGGCTGATGGCCTGGTCAGTGGATGGTTGGAGCACCTTGCTCTGCCTGGAGATTAGCTACTCAGAGCTGGCCATCTCCTTCTGAAATCACCCACAAGGGCCATGGAGACAGCGACTGTCTTTCATCTCCACTGAAGCTCCAGCCCCAGCTCTTTGCTAGACAGGGTCAAATAGGGAAGAGGAAACCACTCCAGGCATTGTAGATGGAGGGAACTCAATATATGGAAGTGATTTTATAGATACTAGGGAAACAAGATACAAAGCAGGGAGCAGTGGGGCAACCTGAAGATCAGCAGCCGCAGGCGGCTATGTCTACCCATGGAGCTAGTGAGACAACTGGAGGCACAATCACCTGAGCCCAGGATCTGAGGCTGCCTGGCAGGACCTGAAGTGGCAGTGGACTGGAGGGAGGCTGTAGCTGCAGATGTAGTATGTCCATCAAGGAGCTTGTACCCAGGAAGGAAGAGAAAGGGGTACATAGGCTTTCCCCATCCTATCATACTTGGATCTCCCATCAGCCCATCACTGAGGAAGTCAGCTTCTCTCCTTCCCTGCAGACTACATACATGTTCACAAGTGTGTACTCAGTCAATTGCAAAGCAAAGGAGAGCAGAGGACAGGAGCAGCTCTGAGGACAAAGACAAAGGACCCGCTGTGGATTGAGAGCATGTGGTGATTTTATTGGAGTGTTTCCATTCAGATGGCAAATGCCAGATAGAAAGAGCAACTTGGGCATGCCAAGATCTATGTGGGATGTATCCTTTAGGACTGTCACATCTACCTGGTCACAGGCAAAGTAGAGAAAAAAAGAAGGAACCAATCTGACCCAGATTGGCATGTGCTGGCTCAGTGTCCACTGAGCACAGAGTGTGAGGCAGCGTCAGGTTCAAGGCTTAGTAAGTACTTGTTGAATTAATGAACAATTTGGCTCAGGTAAGATTATTAATTCTCAAAGGATGCTACTGTACTCTATAGTTTTATAAATACATTTGAGAATCTGAGGGACCAGTGGGGAGCCTTGCGCCATTCTTTAAGGCCCTTGGGCTCTGAGCTGAGACCTGGAGAAGCTCAGTTTGAGTCAGCACCCCAAGATGTCCACCTGGCCACAGTGATGATGCTCTCCTTTTTCAGATTCCCCCATACTGTGCCTACTTCTGTCTCCTGTTTGAGTCCTTCCTCAGGAGTGCCTGGAATGTTGGAGCAGCTTTTTTCCTACTTGGTTGTGCTAATTCCAGAATCTCTTCTTTCTGATCTACCTTACCTTCAGTAGCAGATAAATCATCATAAAGCTCAGTGCTGAACAGGCTGCCTCCATGATCAAATACTTTCAATAACTTTTTCTTGCCCTTGGGGTGCAGTCTAACTGCCTAAGACTGGCCATGGAAACCATCAGGGATCTAGTAGCAACCTCATTTTCCCATACTCCCACTGAACCATCACCCTTGCCTCAGAGATGCTACAGAGTTCCTTCCAAGCTTGCTCTGGGCTTGAGCAGTTACCCCATCAAAAACCCATCCCCTCTCGCTTTGATTTTAAATTCTTCTTGTGCTTAAAGCTCTGACTTGTATTGCATCCTGCATTCCTGATGAGTGAAGTGATATGTTTCCCACCTCTGAATTATTGGCAGCATTTTATCTGGACCTGTGACACCACTCTCTAGTTTGCCCTGGCATTACTGATACACATAGCTTATCTCTCCCTTGAAGACTGAGGGCAGAGACCTTGGCATTTTTAGCTTTATGGGCCTCACAATAATAACATACATTGAGTTAAATTTTTGTTGCATTAATGGCCGTACTTCAAATGAATAACTGAATATACACAGAGACATATAAAAATGAATACATGGGGTGAATGAATAGACTAGCAGTTGTCCCAGGGCTCTACAGAGCAGACTATCCCAGTTTGCCTGAAAGAAGATGTAGTTTGAGGTGGACAATCAACTTGGGTCATACAAACCAGGGAGGGAACACAGCGTTCTGGACATGTTATGCAAGGGCTACTTTCTGAAGAAAACGTTAAAGACAACCCTAGCTCTTGATACTGAAAAGCCAGTTCTAGCCCCCAACTGCTCAGCCTTGTCAAGACACTTACATCAATGTAGTTGGCGTTGATATAGTCAGAGTGGGGGTCTCCATCCAGCACCAACAGCCTCACCCGAGAATGGTCATCTGCAGAGAGAGCAGAAAGCAGGAGGTGGAAGATGAGAAGGCATGCGGTGAGGAGTCAATATTGCTCTCCTTTGGAGTTGCCACTGATGGGTTACTGCATACCAAGTACCAGGTCTCTTTCTCGTTTAGACCACAATGCTGTTCTTTCATTTACAGATGATGATGTAGAGGCTCAATAGAGGATACTTTGAATAAGGACTCTTAGTCTCACTTTCCAATAAATGTGTATGAGTGTTTTGCCTTTATGTATATAAGTGCACCATGTATGTGTAGTGCTTGTAGATGCCAGGAGAGGGCATCAGATCCCTTGGAACTGGAGTTATAGATGGCTATGAGCTGAGCTGCTATGTGGGTGTTGGGAATGAAACCAAGGTCTTCTGCAAATACAACTATGTTCTTACCTACTGAGGCTGAGCCATCTCTTCAGCCACAACCCATTTTCCATTTTGATTATGGTTTCATCATTGCCTGAGCAGGTGTGTCACCTGTGTCTTAAGCCTTAGATTTCATTATCAGGATGAAAATACCTACTTCATGGGGCAAGGAAAGAGAGATCCATATAAATACAAGTGGCTTGCGAGAGTGCTGAGTCTGAATGAATATGCTTGCTTAAATATAGCAAATTTCCCTATTTTTCACACATGCACAAATTACTTTTTATTTGCCATTTGGAGCACTGGTGAAAAGAGATTGTTGGCTATGTATTGTTATCAATACCATCATTAAACTGAGGCTGACTGAATCATTAGAAAAGAGGTAATCAATAGCTAAAAATCATGTTACTGAAAACCATGCTACTAAAGGTACCTTTTCAAACACAATCAAGATATAAACAAGACTTATGGGCTGTAGTCGATAGCATGCTTGCTTCAAATAACACCAAATAAAATAATTTTAAATGGCACAGTAGAAGAATCGGGATAATCCTTTATAATTAATTTAAGTGAACTCTAACATGGTAATAGACTCATGCAAAGGGAAAACCTTGGTTTGGTCTGGTGGAAGGATGATGCCTTTAGTTTGGTGCCTAGGGCACTGTGCACTTGTCATTGTATCTCCACCCCCATTCATTCTTTCTTATCACAGGACAGAGGTGGGGTGGAGAGGTCTGGACATCCTAAGGCCTCCCAGAGGTGAAGGAGGGAAAGCTACTTTTTCCTGTTAGACGCTTCAGTTTATAAGCACATTTATTGCTACTAACTGGAACCCCTTGAGACCGGGACATTATCTGGCTTGTTCCTTGTTCCATTCCTTTCGCCTTCCAATGGGACTAACATCTGACAGGCACTCGGTGAGTATTTGGTGAATGCATAACTGGATGGCCTTACTGGACCCTCTCAATGATCTCATGAGAGAGGCAGAATGGTTGTTAGTCCTTGTTACAGTGTACAAACTGATGCTCCTGAAGATTGGCTACATGACCAGTAAATGGCAGAGCATGGTGAAGTGGGGACATTTTAACTCTGAGTTCACATATTCCTACTTCCATAGGAAGCAGGAGATTACAGAGCATGTAATGGGGGGGGGTGACAAAAAAAAGGTTACCTGGGTGATCAAAGAAGTTTTGAGAAGATAGGTTAACTCAGAGAAGCAACAGCAAAGTGATGCTGCCTCCCTAGGGCTTAAGGAACAGAGAGAGGAGATAGGGTTCTGAGAACTCAAGAGTTGGGGTACCCTTCTAGACTGGACCTACCATGAGCCTCTGTGGCAGGAGATGGACACAAGGAGCAGCGTCCCTGGTTCCAAAGAAGTCAGCTTGTAGAGATCAGCTCCCTGCAATGAAGCATCAACTGGAGGCCAAGGTGCAGCTTGGGCAAACAGGCCCTTGACTGGTACAGGACACTACTCATATTAATCAGCTCAGAATCAAACATGAGTATCTATATGTGCCAGACACGATGCTTATGTAAGAAGTTATATTGAATGCTTTTTAAAAAAATTTTTTCTACAAGGAAAGGTTTTAGTAGAAGTTAGTAGTAGGTAAGAAATATCTTTGAAAGGGCAGGTGAATGGAGATGTGGGGTATGAGGCAGGGAAGGAGTCTGAACTGAAGCTTTACTGAGTTCATGATAGGTCCCCAAACCTTTACAGACTTAATCGCTTATTCCTCAAAATAGCTCCATACCTTATAATCAGATTGATGAGGTATTATGATTCTTCTGATTTCATGGATGAAGAAAGTAGGGCTTGGAGAAGTTAATCAGCTTCCCAAATTATATAGCTACTCTCTGAGGTGGATCTAACCCTGAACCTCTCCTCTGTCAATACAACACATTGCCCCAGGATCTTGAGCATCTCACAGAAAGCTATGGCTAGAGATTGTGCAAGTGAGTCGTCACCAACCTCCTTTAGTATCCCAGAGAGGGGGACCTCCTGGGAGATGTCATCCAGCAAGACTGGCACCTGACTCTGAACCCAGCATGTCAAGCCCCATTGCTAGCAGCTGTAAAAATTATAAGCCTTAAAAGTGAAAATGTATGTTTTTATTCATTTGTTTTATTAATGACTTAATGATTAAAAATCTCCTTTCCTTATGAGACTGATGCACCACTTACTGTTCTAAGGAGGCAGATCAAAATCTCCTTTACTTACTGAGTTATGCCTGCCTAGGGTCCATAGCACTAGAAACAGATTTTCAGTTAAAATGTTGAAAGGGAGTTTTTAAAATATAAAATGAAAAAAATTAAAGTTGAAATCAAAACCATTAGAAACAAAAGAAACACACAAAATATCCTTTAAAATTTAAGGCACCGCCTCTACACCTAAGGCTCATGGAACACAGCGGAACAAGGGGTAGAGAGAAAACTAATGCCTCCCTCAACTCTCACCAGTAAACCTCCCTTACACAGCAGAGTGTGATGCACACAGAAGACCCCAACTGGCCAAGTTGTAAAGACTAAGAGACTACAGAGTGTGTCTCCTTGGATGGGACTCCTATATTGAATCTCACGTACCTATGGCTCAGGGACCATTGTGGAAAAGGAGGCGGAAAGATTGTAAGAACCAAGGCTGATTCATGAACACAGGGAAGCAGAGGCTTTCAGGCCACTGGAAGTTTGCACATGTGAACTTGTGGCAATGACGACATTGAACACAGGACCCATGTCAACTCAATTAAACAGGGCCCAGAGTGGGAGAGAGAAATGGGTGGGAGGCCATCCCTAGACTGAGAACTACTGGAGACTGATTGCTACTGGGTGAGGGAGAATATGCCTCACATAGGATCTCTAGATGGGCTGACTAGGCTCTACTGGATGAATTTACACCGAAGGACACCAGCATAAAAATGCTGACTGGATGAGGCTTATTTAACCTGTATGGTGGAATACACGAGGTCCAGTGGGAGGATGGGGGGCATGGATGGAAATTTGATTAAGAACTGTTGTATATAATTACAAAAGTTCACTAAGGGGGTGGAGAGATGGCTCAGGGGTTCAGAACACTGGCTGTTCTTGCACAAGACCTGGGTTCAGATCCCAGTACTCACATGGCAGCTAACAACTATCTGTAACTCCAGTTTCAGGGATCCAACGCCCTCTTCTGATCTCCACGGGCATTGCATGACATGGATACACTTACACACATGCAGGCAATACATACATAGACATAAAATAAAAATAATAAATAAAATATTTTATTTTAAAAGTTCAATAAAAAATAAAAAAAAATCAAAGGTACCTATAACCATCAGGGTGCCTAACAATATCTCCCTTCAAGTGAATGGAGATAAATACTAAGAACACACTTACTGAGCATCTACTGTGTGTTAGCCAAGTAGAGGGAACTAAGAAAGAGCTGTGGGATGTGAGCTTCATGCTTAAGGAGTTTTGACAACTTATTCAATGAAATGGATCACATGTAGAATTAAAACATCATCAAGGTCTAGAAAGTGGAAGTGGGGAGTGGAGAGCTTAGGGTAGTACCATGTGAATGAAGAATTTTTAAAAGTGAGGAAGGGTTGATCCAGGGGCAATGAGGAAGTCAAGGCAGGGATCCTGAATGAGCCAATACTTTGGAGGAGGATGGGACTGGGAAGAGTGTCCTGTCCTGGGAAAACTGAAGTGGGAGGAACAGAAACAAGAGGGGGCAGAGGAGCGAGCTCCCCATACTACATTAGGCCCCGAGACTCAAGTTCACAGGCTGGACTCTACAGGGTATCTGCATGTAACTTACTGGGAGGCAACCAAAATTCATCCCCACAAGAGCTGATCTCTGGTGAGAAGGAAACACTGTTAATGTGTGATGTGACATATAGCGCCATTAGGGATCAGATCTGGGTTCAAATCTTAGCTCTATCAGGTAGCGAGTCCATAGATCTTTCTGCTTCAGGTTCCTCAGCAAAATCGAGCCAAATTCATCATAGAGTTCAGAATGCTGAGGATTAACTGAAAAAACACGGGCTCAAAAGGTACTAAAAGAAGAAAATGAAAACACAAGCAAGAGAGTAGGAAAAGATACTTGTCAAACCCATACTTGATAAAAGGCATATATTCAAATATATAAAGAACATAAAAACTCAACAAGAGGAAAATAAATGGCTGAAGTACAAAGCTCTGAACATATATCTCTTCAAGGAAGATATACAGATGACAAATAAGTAAATGAAGTATGTCCATCATCCTGCATCGTTAGGGAACTGCAAATTAATGAAACATCACTGTAGACACAATCAAAAAAGCCAAGACAAAGCAAAGAACCACTGTCAACATGAAATACTTGCAAGAATGTTGGGACAAGAATCCTCCCTCACTACTGGTATAGATTCGTAAGGTACAGCCACTCTAGAAGACAGTAGGGCAGTTTCATGCAAAACTAAATATCCCTTCACCCTTATGATACTGAAGTAATTACAGTCATGGGTATTTACCCAATGAATTGAAAACTTAAGTCTACATTAAAAAAAAACTGTGCATAAATGTTTATTGCAGCTTGAGTCATGATTGTTAAAAGCTTGGAAATAACCAAGTTATCCTTCAGCAAGCGAATGTATAGACAAATTG